CCGACACTGCCATGTCAGTGGCAGGACAGCTCTGTAGTCGTGATGCACATGACACAGCAAACGCCCAGGTCTCCTTCCTGCAGACGGCTCCTCATCGACTCGAGCTCCAGGCCATTCCTGGACATGGTCTGGGGTGCCCAGGCCTGTCACAGGCCACTCTGCTGGTGGACCTCATGGAGCGTGGCTCACTGTTACACAGCTACGTCAGCCATGTGTGGCTCAGATGTTTAATCCGACCCACCAGTGACCAGGAGAGGTATGAAATTACCAACCAGAACGCGACACCACGGGTGCTTTCACTCCTACCCACAGAGCAGAGGCAAACTCCTGTCAGGTCAGAGCGACGGCACGTTGCTCAGGCTCAGAGCCCCGCCTCCGCAGGATGTCTGCAGAATGTGAAGACCTACTTCGATGGAGAGGCATACGAACACATTGCAATCTACTGCCACCTCTCTCCAGGGAGGAAAACAGTGCCCTTCTGTGCTAACGTCTGCTCCCTTTCTCTTAGGTAGAAAAGACCAAAAAGATCCATCAAAGGCTGCTTTTAGTCAACGACTTCAACGCACGCCTGCTTGGCGGCCTAAATTCTACCAGTGACTGCTCACGAGGGTATAGCCTTCGATCAGAGGAGTGTTCGCCTCATCCTCCTTGGCACTGATTTCACAGGGAAGGTCGGGCTACTCCTCTCTGCAAGTCACCAAACCCTGAATTTCCACATGTGAGTGAAGTAATGAGGCTCAGAGGCTTGCTTTTAGTCTGCGCCTGGTGCGATTTACACTGCTATCTGGCACTGCGGGCCGGGATGACAATGGTATCTGTGGTCAGGACACCTCTGGACTCCTGTCCTGACCACAGTGCTGGTCCCAGGAGCCAGACCCCTTTCAGGGCCTCCTACATATCACCCACTCCCCTGGACCTCTAAGAATTACAAAAGAGTTTCTAGAAAAGCTGAAGCACTTTAGAATAAGTTCAGTCAGTGGAGGACTACCTTGGGCAAATCTCATCCTTAAACCGACTTGAGACTCTTAATCTCAGAGAAAAATCTGAGAGACTCCTTTGTCAACCATGCATGTGGCCAAACGTGCCAAGAGCCTGAAGGACAGATGATGCCCACTTACTTTATCCATTCTGTCTTGTTCCACGCCAAACTTCCCTCCGTAGCCATGGGAGGCTTTTGGTCCGGTTTCAAGTTCCTTCTCCTTGAGGGTCTGATGTTCTTGAAAAACATTCTCTCTCAGTTTGTGTATGCTTGAAGGGGAGCAAAGAGAATGGAACAAATCCATCAAACAAACAGGCATCTTTGCCACCCAGTAGGATAAATAAGGACAGGGGACGTTATTTTGTAACTGCATGGGTTTGTTACTTGGTGCTGGCCGATTCCCTGCCTTCGCTCTACTTTCCTGACGACTCTGCCAGCTAGTGCATCTGCCTCAGCAGTTCTCCGAGTCAGACGAAAGAAGAGACGCTAATCCGAACAGCCCAACTGGCCCCCAAAGTTCAGCCTTGATGAAACTTGAACTTTACTTCTTACGGAGAAAAGTTTCTCATTTAGTAGATAAATGAGTTAGGCAAGCTGGTTATCTAAACAGCATCCAGAGGCAAAGAGGGAAATACAGTGCAAGGTCCCATACTCCAGATATCCCAAGGACACCACAGAAGTCCTGAGACACTAAACATCTGGATAGTTTGTCTTGGCTGAAGTACTCCAGTTTTGTTATATGCTCAAAAATGAATGATGTTCACAATTTACCATGTAAAGGTCATTTTTTATTTTAAATATAGGGGACAGTGAAAGAGATTAAAGATATGGTCAAAATTTAGCAGGCCAGGTGGCCATCACCAGAAGACCCCAGAGCAGCACAAAAGTCTTCTTAGAATGGGGTCTTTCTGCCTAAGAGAGACCATGGCCACGCCTTCAAAATCTGGACAATAATCTCAGAAGCATGGATAAAATACAAACCGGGGGAGCCAGTAGGTGGCATGGTGGTTAAGGGCGCTGGACTCCCACATGGCCAATCGTGATTCAAGGCCCAGACCTGGCGGCTTGTTTTCTCACTTTCTCTCTCTCTCTCTCACTCTATCCCTCTCTAGTCAAATTTAAATAAATGAATAGATAGATAAAACAAATAGATAGATAAACAGATAAAGATAGATATATAAAGTTAAATTAAAAGAAAAAAACAGACTTGGAAACCACCCCACCCCCTTATGAACAAGGGAACAAAAGACTCATTCTAAAATCCGGGAAGGACTACAGGATACTAAGAACTGTCCTATTCTCCACATGTTCCCTCTCCAAATACTAATGGATCCTAATCAATCCGAGGCTGGATGTCCAGAGAGTTCTGTTTGAACTCCAATCCACCCTCCCCAGCATTTGTTGAAGTCACAGAGAATAGAAGTCCTGAGACGAGGCACAGATCACGTAACCACTTCAGGAGTCTACTTAACCCAGCAGTGAATAACCTAGAGCTGCGGCACAGCCCCAGGTCAGCTCCCATGGCACCCTCCTCCCCAGCTGGCCCCAGGGAGCTGGGTATCCTCAGATCACGTCTATAGAAGGGGTAGGCTGAGTAAGGCAGAGAGAGGCTAGCAATGATGTCTATGAAGTCACTATGCAGACACTGTCTTCTCTTCTGGATGATTTACTGGATCTTTCTAGCTAAAGACACTGGCCAAGCAAGACAGAGACTTCCCAAAGCAGGTCACCGGGTCACCAGTGCTCCTTTACAACTAGAGGACGAGAGGGTAAACTCTGAACCCAGAGCAGCCTAAAATAGAAGTCTGAGAACATTTTAAAGTTCCTTTTATCTATACTTCCTGATGAGAAAACAAACTGCCCAAAGAGCTGGCATTTTCGATAGTGCCAAGTTAGAAACAATGACATGGCTCTCTCGGTCCTCCTATTTTGGGGTTTTTATAAGAACACAAAGCTTAGAATTCTGCTCGCAGTACCCAACTGTTAAATTCTACAATGCACAATAATTTCCAATAATAATAGAGGGTGTGTGTGTGTGTGTAATTTTGAGGTCCAAGTTTTTGAAAGACATCTCATACTTTAAAAACCTCCAGCCTATAGAAAAAAGAATTTAGATAACTGCTCCTCAATGAACAGAATACTGAAAATAGACTCTCTAGAATTATAAATATGAAAATCATTTACAATGGAAAATTTTAAATTACTGAGCATACATGTACGCATATATACATACACATAAATATACCTACATTAAGTACATAACACAATTTATATCATCTACTATATAAATATGTCAGTAAGACAAAAAGAGCAATTTTAACATGTAACTGGTATTACACAAATTAATTAGACAGGGCAATGCGCTATGCTTTACATATTTTCATCTCGCAGAGTATCACATTTATAAAAATATTAACAAAGTCTCTTACTTGATGTGCTCCTGGTGCCCAGACCCTTGCACGGTTTTGGCGCCCCATCTTTGCTCCTTTTCACTTACATCGTTCTAAAAAGAAAAATAACTAGTAAGCCCTATGCCCTGGAGCACAAAACAACTAACAACCCAATCAAACAAAAAACCCAGGAAAATAACAAAAATGAAAAGCAGGCAAGCTCCACAGGGACATGCCCAGGCACTGTGACAATGGATATCCAATAGTACACAGCTTAAGTAAAGCTGGATCCCGCATGGCCACTGTAGTTCAAATCCCCTACCCCAAACATGCCAGATATGTCCTCCAATGCCCAAGAGGAATGGAGGAAGGGGTACCCTCCCCTGGTGGAGGGTCTTCCTAAGGACCCTTCACATACAGGCTCTATCGTCAATAAAGAGAGGAAAATTTTTTCTAAAACGGAACAGAAACAGGTTGTTGGTTCCTACCACAAAATCAGGGTCAGTTTCCCAGTCATCAGCTCCCCCATCATCCTGGGTGATGGACACAGCGTGGCCTGCCGAAGCTTTCCACATCTGAAAGAGCAACACTGAGTGTCAGGAGAGCCACTCTCGAGGGTGACAGATACGCTCTTGGCCCAAGACCACCAAAACTCTACGGCAACACATGAACAATGGGGAGCTACGTGACCAAATGACCCTTTACAATTCCTATGCTTAAATGACAACTGCAGATATAAAAGAAACCAAATACCATGAATTACAATGCAGCTGTCAACTGGCATCAGAAATCTACCAGAAAAACTCTGTTTTCATTGAAGTGAGACAATTTCCTAGGAAATAAAGAAGTTAGGTGTGCACTTACTTCATCCATTAAAAACATGTTCCTATTCTGCTAAGAGTCTTATGACAACCTGTTTTTCAAGCAAAGAAAGCACCATTTTGGGTGACACAATATTATGAATCTACTAACGATCACTAGTGGTATATTTCACATTAAGTGTTACTTTATCATAAGTTTCTTAAAAGAGTACCCATTTTTATTTCAAATGCTTACTAGGAATACAAGATTTCCGTAATTCAGACTGATAATTTTCTTAACCGCCAGAGGATACGTGCACTCACCAGAGAGAGACAGAGAGAAGAGAAGAGAAAGTACTCTCCAGCGAGGTGTGATCAGCAACAATCCTTTTTTCACTATTTCTTGATCCTGTTAGGATTTCGGGTATGCACACACAGGTACCTGGTGTGTTTTTCAAGAATCAAGTGCTGGCCCCATCCTGAGATGGATACTGAACTTGAGCTGTGAAATACTGCTTTTCTTGACCAAAAATGAAGATTTTCTGCTGAGACTTCTTCCTCCAGATTCATTTCTAGTGGGTACGACTACTTCTGTCTCCTGTCCATTTCTCTCTCTCTCTCTGTCTGTCTCACTGTATCTCCCTGTGACTTTTAATTTTTATTTTATTTATTTTTTAAGGTACAGTACTGTCTGAGCTCTCAAGTCCCTCCTTTGTTATGATAATTGCTGCCTTTCCCCATTTCATTTAGGAAAGGCACAAACCCAGGCCAGGCTCACCTTGAGATGGATACTGAACTTGAGTTGTGAAATATTACTTGTGCGTGGCGTGCATGCACGCTGTGTGGTTTTCATTATTCTGTTTTTCAAAATGATCTTTTTTCTTTATCTTTATTCTTTTTTCTTTATCTTTATTCACTGGCTGCTCAGCCTCTACACACTAAGGGTCTAGACAGGTCCAAGTGAACAGGATCCAAACATCTGAATACGATTACGGTCAGAATATTCCTCTATTCCCACTGAACCAAAGAACGAAAACAGAATGAGAGACTGCAGACCACCTCCTTCTGCACACCTCTAAATGCTCAGATTGAACTTTAAGAATTAGAAAGAAACGTACCATCCATCAGATGACTAGAAATCACCACAGGGTCACAAAAAGTATGGGAAAGCAAGAAAATATCTCTCCTCCAAGGGAAAAGAATAACTCCTCTTCATCCTCAGACAGTACAATGAAACTCATGGAAATGTCTGATAAAGAATTTAAAATGTTCATAGTGACAAAGCTAACAGAGATGAAAGAGAAGAGAGACAATGAACTGCAGAAGAGGCAGGAGAAAGGAGCAGACAAGTTCCAGTGAGGAAATTCTTGCAAGATCTAAAAGAGGAAATACACACTATGAAAAAGAATCAAATGGACCTGTTAGAGATAAAGGCTATAATACAGGAAGTCAAAATCTCTCTTGAAAGTATTAAAAGCAGACTAGATCATGCAGAAAATCGAATCTCAGATGCAGAAGATAGAATAGCTAGCCTAGAAAAGTCCACGTAGAAGACTGAGAAAATTGGCCCCCCAAAAAATGAGAATAACATACTAGTAATACTGATACTATCAAACGTCTAAACATCCAGATAACTGGTATCCCAGAAAGTGAAGAAACTAAGAAGCACATTGATAATCTAGTCCATGAAATCCTGCAACAAAACGTTCCAAATCTAGAGAGGCATTCAAAGACCCAGTTCCAAGAAATACAAAGGACCCCAAAAAGAATCAATCCAAGATCTTCTCCAAGACACATTATAGCCAAATTGACCAAAACCACAGACAAAGATAAGATACTAAGATTGGCGAGAGAGAAATGGCAAGTTACCTACAAAGGATATCCCATCAGACTAACAGCAGACTTCTCATTGAAAACAATGTGAGCGAGGAAAGAGTGGGAAAATATATTCAAAATGTTAAGGGAAAAGCAATCTCAACCAAGAATACTGTACCTGGCAAGATTATCCTCCATATGGGAAGAAAAGACAAGATCATTCTCAGGTAAACAAAACACAAAAGAACTTACCAACACCAGATCAGATCTCTAAGAAGTTCTCAAGGAAGTGCTATACCAGGAAAATTAAATAGACACACAGAAATAATAGTTTAAAACTAAGAAAATGGCCAACTTACTCACAGGGACAAGTCTGGAGCTGAATATTATATCTCAGAATTTAATCAGGAAGATCGAACCACAACAGAAGATAGATTTAAGTACATGAGACTGAACTGGTGAAACAGCATTTTATGACTTTTGACTAAAACATTGCTGATTTTCTTCTAGGCTTTGTTTTCCGGTTTTAAGAATTTTTGTCCTGTCTTGAGCTGCCAATAGGTTCACGTACCTACTATTTGAACAGAATCGTAACCTATTTCCTGGCTTAAAGTTTTAGACAAAGTTCCTTAGCATTTCTTTTACTTACTAAAGATAAAACTACTTTTCTTGACATTCAAAAATACCTATTTCATGGCCATAATAAGCTATTTAGCATCAGCTAGGAGCTACCTTATAGTATATTCATTCTACTCAGAGGTTCACGCCTAAGTCACACATGTATTCACAGATGTGTATATATCAGCTGAACTTGCTATTGAAAGTGGTTAGATTATTTAAGAAATTTTGTGAATCAATAGAATGTGGGGGGGAAAAAGGAATGGAAAGCAACTGTAGACAACTGAGATAGTGTGCAGGAGGGTGAGAAATAGGGGGAAAATATATATACATGTATGAAATACACACACACACATATATGTATATGAAACTAGAAATGGAAAATTATTGACAGTAACATCTATGATTAAGCCACTATGCAGTATATTATGGATGGGAAATCACATTTTGTATGCTATGATGATGCTCAGGGAATGAATGTAAGTTAATTAATTTTAAAAAAGTTTCAGAAGAAAATTACAGTGCACTTGTAACTAGATCCCAGCCTTGTTCATATTTTTAGTTTAAGGTATTTTGTGAATCAATAAAATGGGGGGGGGAAGAAAGCACTGGGATTTGAACCACTGTCAGCTATGTGAGATCTAGCTCCCTTAAATACTAATCCATGGGGGCCAGTCCCAGACTGACAACAAATGTTTCAAGTTACTTATTAGTATGTTGCTTTGTCATCTATTTGGGGCAATATACTATATATAAAATGCCATTTTTCCCACATTAAGAGGATCTGAGGGACCAGCAGATGACACAATGGCTACATCACTGGACTCTCACATAGTCCACCACGGTTCAAGTCCCAGACCTGGCAGCTTAAAACTCATGCAAGGTACGAGTGCACGTGTGCCTAAAATTCTGAGAGGAGAATGGAGAAGAGACTGTGGCATGGCCAGGTATGGCCAACCTCCCTGGGGTGGGGAGTGACTTCTCACTTTCTGTCTCTCCAGTGAGCATACACACTGTATAGCAAAAATCTCTCTCTCAAAAAAAAAAAAAAAAAGAGAGAAAGATCTGAAAGTAGGTAGTCCACCCTTCTTCCTTAGCATTTTAAAACTGTAAGGTATACTGTCCACTTCTGGCATCTTTGCTGAGGGTCACACTGAGGTACAAGCTGCTGCAGGGACATCTTTAGAGTCAGCACCATGACAGAAGACATCAAGACCAAAATCAAGAACTACAAGACTGCCTGTTTTGACAGCCATGTACCCAACTAGAATCAGGGAGCTGGGGAGACTAGCTTTCACCCCCAAGTCAAAGGTGAAAGCAGGTTGTCTCTGCGTTACTTTTCAGACTCATCGGGGGAAAAATTGATAGAGCATAATCTTTACTGATGGTCCTCGAAACCAGCCTCACCAAGGTACAAGATGAGCACATCTAAACAGTTCATAGCACCATGCTGCTGGTGGCTCCGTCCACTTTAAGAACATAAAAAAGAGAAGCCGGATTGTTCCCAAGAGGTCAGAAATAGTTCCTGTTCCTTGACTACAGCTTTCTGCAATTTCCTCTTCTTTCTAAGTCACAGGTAACACCAGAAACTTGATTTGATTTTTTTAAATAATGAAATTTCCTGGGGCAGGCAGGTGGCATGGTGGTTAAGGGCGCTGGACTCTCACACATCCAACCACGGTTTGAGTCCCAGACCTGGTGGCTTGCTTTCTCACTTTCTCTCTCTCTGTCCCTCTCTGGTCAAACTTAAATAAATAAATTAATTAAATAAAATAAAAAATAATGTTTAAAAAATTAATAAGTAAATTACCTTCCAGAAAGTAGTTGTCCCTCTCCCCTCAATCCCACTGGGTGAGCACCCCGCCTCTCCTTGCTGAAGGGATGGTACCCTCACCATCAGAGGGGGAAGGTTATCAGAAAGCTCACAACGTACAAACCTTTCTTTCCAGTTGAAGACACGGGGCTGTTCACAAAGCTCTGTGTACAACACAGCAATCCAATGAGGGATCTGCAGGCATTTGGGACTGATTCTGTCTGTAAAAAGATTAAGGGAAATGAGCTCAGATGATGGCTGTTGACAGGCTCCCTGGGCAAATCCTTAAGTGTGAAGATCTTTATAGAATACCTCGGAAATCCTCCCAGATATAACAAAGTTTTGTAAAGAAATCTGAAAGGAGGATGGAAAGATTCACATTTTACTCATCAAAAAGCTTAACACAGAAAAACCAAATAAGTTTCAATAAATGTATAACCACACGTTTCTTAATGCAAGCAGACATTACTGCCTCTATTGTTACCATATGTTGCTTGCTAAAATCCTAAAAGGTTTCCATTTTTATTCATTCTATTATAATGTATAATATTGCTAAAACAATAAAATTCTATTACTATGAGTTTTAAAAAAATAATATAAGAAAAACACGCCAGGCCTGTATGCATGTGTGCTCAAATCCTGACAGGAATTGCAGAGTAGCCAAGCCCACTGGGGACTGAAGAGTTTTTCTCTCTTTGTATCTCTCTCTCATGAGTGCAGACACCCTCTGGCATGCATGCATTAAAAAAAAAATTAATAATAAAATCTTCCTTGAAAGTACCATGATGTGGCTAGGAGGAAAAAATCAACAGTCTGTCAGGATGTGACACACAGTGGACCCAGCGCGGAGAAGGAGGGAATTAGGCTGCACTCCTAATGATCCTGTATGGTCCCCGCACAGAGAACAAGATTCCAACTGCCAGATGGTGGCACGCCTCCTCCCTGATACTGTACATCAGCCCCAACTGGATACAGCATCACTAGACACTACACACCACAAGAATAAAATGTCCTTGCCTCCTATAAGGTCATAGGCAGAGCCACTTGTATGAGCACGTAGCTTCTCATGAGTTAGGAACTAGAAATGGGGTGCTTATTGCCATGATTAGTTACCTCCCAAGCTCCCTATGCAATACTTGCTCCTTCTCTCCACGGAGTCCCCTTTGGAAAACCTGTGGGTTGCTTAGTACATTCTAGCAACGGCAGTTATTCATGTAACCCTATAAAAATCTACCCAAGGGGCAAGCGGGTAGCATGGTGGTTAAGGCAGCTGGATTCCCACAAGGTGGACTGCAGTTTGAGTCCCAGACCCAGTGGCTTGACAATCTCACTGGACACATGTGCAGGCATGCCCAAAACCCTGAGAAGAGAACAGGGAAGAGACTGCATCATGGCCATCCCGCCCAGAGTAATTTCTCACTTTCCCTCTCTCTCTCCTCTCTGGCAAGCACACACGCCCTATGGCAAAAACCTTAAAAACAAAAACACTACCCAAAGGTTGGCCAGCCTGCAGAATGGTGGTTGACTGGATCCCACATGGTCAACAAGCAGTTGAGTCCTAGACCCAGCAGTCTGAGAAACAAGCTGGGCCCATGTACATGCTTAAAACCTCAAAAAGAGGGAGAAATGGAGAAGGGATCGTGGTATGACCATTCCCATGGGTGGTGCTTTCACCTCTTCTTATCTGTCTGTCTCTTTTAGGCAAACACACATTCCCCTAGCAAAAAAAAAGTTTTAAATAAAAAAAAAAAAGTGAGGGAAGAATCTGAATAAGCACTTTTTTTTTCTTTGAGAGGTTTTTGCTATAGGGTGCGTGCACTCGCCAGAAAGACAGAGAGAGACAGAGACAGAAAGGGAGAAATCACCTCCCAAGAATGGGCACACTGCAATCCTTTCTCTTCCACTCTCACGGGATCCTGGGCACACATGCACATGCACACACACCCAATCTGAGTTTAAGCCACTGGGTCTAGGACTCGAACCACAGTGGTCGAAGTGGGAGTCCAGTGATATAGCCATTACACCAACAGCTGGTCCCCTGAATAAACACTTATCTAAAGAAGATACACAAATGGCTAATAAGCTCATGTAAAGAAGTTCAGTATCTGGGAACAGCAGATGGCATAACGGTTAGGTTGCTGGACTCCGACATAGTCGACTGCAGTTCGAGTCCTGGAACTCACAACGGGCAAGTATGCATGTGTGCCCAAGATCCTGAAAGAGAACGAAGAAGAACGGATTACGGCATGGCTATTCTCCCTGGCGGGTGACTTCTCACTTTGTCTCTCTCTACTTTTCTGGCAAGAGTACGTGCTCTATAGGAAAAACCTCTCTTAAAAAAAAAAAAAAAAAAAAAAGTTCAGTATCATTAACATCAGGGAAATGCTAATCAAAACCACCAGGACTAGGATGACTAAAATCAGAGAGATGATAACAACTAGTGGCAAGGCTGTGGAGAAATGAGAAACCTCATATATTACTGGTGGGAATGGAAAATGAAAAACAGTCTGCCAGTTCCTCAAAAGGTTAAACACAGAGACCATCGACTCAGCAGTTCCACTCCTAGGCATATGCCCAAGACAAATGAAAGCGTATGCCCCCACAAAAATTTGTTCATGAATGTTCCAACGCCATTGTTCATAATAGCCAAAAGTGGAAACAACCCAAATGTCCATCAACTGATGACTGGATACACAGCATGTGGTCTCCCCACACAGCAGAGTATCATTCCCCATAGAATGGAATGAAGTACTGACACGTGCTACAAAGTTGATGAATCCTGAAAACATTATGCTAAGTGAAAGAAGCCAGGCACAAAAGATCACACATTAGATATTTCCATTTATTCCAAAGGGCCAGAATTAGCAAACCTATAGGGACAAAAAGTATATTTGCAGTTGCTCAGGACTAGGATGGGTGGTGGTGGTGAGAACTGGAAGGCTAATGGTTACAGGGTTTCTTTTTGAGGTGATGAAACTGTTCTAAAATTGATTCATGGTAATGAATGCATAACTCTGAATATACTCAAAACCACTGAATCATATGCATTAAATGAGTAAATTATATGCTGTGTGCATTAAAGTCTTAACAAAGTTATTGTAGAAAATACTGTTAAAAAAAAAGAAGTCTAGTGGTTAAGAGAGCTAGATCCCACATGACCAACTAAGGTTCAGATCCTGGAACTTGGAAAAACATAATGAGCACATTCGTATGTATATCCCAAATCCAGACAGGATGGAGAAATGGAGGAGTAGGGATTGTCCTTAGGGGGCTACTTTCTCTTTCTCTCTAGCAAGCAAGCACACCCTCTGGCCATTCAGGAAAAAAAAATTTTTTTTAAAGATCATCTTTTATCCATCCAGCACCTCTACCCAGCACCATTAACACGAACGCTCCCTTGCAGCCCACAGGTATAGAAACCAAGACTGCACAAACATCAAATCTTGACCTGTATAAACAGAGTAAAAAACTCTTCAATAGAAGAATGTTTTCAATGACGGCATAAAACCATCCAAAATCAACTTTCCACTAACCTCACTATCTACAGCATAAAGCAGAGTCAAACAGTAAAAAACAGCCACATAGCTAAAATTAGCAGGCATATTCACTCTGCTTGAGCAGAGGGGAGTGGGCTAGCCCAGGGACAACAAAGACAAGCCTGCTAACAGATCACATTTCCGGCTCTCAGCTGCCCCAGGACATCCTCATATTACAAGACAAGGCAGCAACCTGTGCTGAAGATGATTCACAATTCATCCAGGCACTCTGCATGGGCCAGAGGTCTGAATCACCAATTAGGCTCACTATAATTTAAAAAGTGTGGGGACCAGCAGTTGATGTAATAGCTATGTCGCTGGACTCCCATGTAGTCAACTATGGTTTGAGTCCTGGACCTGGTGGCTTAAATTCGTGCCTGGTGCATGTGTGCGCGGTGCCTAGGATCCTGAGAGGAGAGGGAGGGAGAAGGGACTGGGGCGTGCCCCTCCCCCCTGGGGGGATTTCTCGCTTTTTGTCTCTGTTTCTTTCTGGAGAGAGCACAAGCCCTATAGCAAAAATCTCTCAAAAAAAAAAGTGTTAAAATTGTTTTAAGACAAGAAGTCCTCACTAGACGTCCATGGAAAGTCACTCTTAGTGGAGGGTAAACTTCACTACTTAGGGACCTAAAATCAGAAACAACTCTGCATCTCTCAGCTCTTCATTCTTGTGGCCTGAAAGTCTCACTTAAGACTCTCTCTGGGTTCTTGACTATCTGGGAACTATTTTCTCTAACCAGGGGAGAGGGAAATAGGACTGACTCAAGGCACCGTGCCAGTGACTCACCCACACGGGCAAACACGGGAATGGAGGGAGCCTTCTGCACGTCTGAATCACAGGATAAGGACCTAGTGGGTTAAGCCCCGTGACAAAGCACCGTCCAGCCAAGTCAAAACTGAGCCAAAAGGCGCGTGGGCACCACCCGGCAGACGTCCAGGCAGGCTCACTCGGAGTGCCGCAGGAGCAGCATTCCGCAGACAAGGCCTTCCTCCCCAAGTGGTCCCGACGCGTCTGCAGACTCCGGGTCCCTCTCACCGAGACCCTCCAGGAGGACATAACGGCCATCCGTTGGGAATCAGGCGATGGAAATACAAGGAACAGACAAGCACCTTTCTGGTGATCTCAAACACACCAGAAGAAGGGACAGTTCCAAATTTAGAGCCTCCCGACCAGCTGCAGCTGCGCTTGTCGCGGCATTCCCACTGACCTGATTGCAAAACCTCTACTCAGGTGCGCGGCCAGCAGGAGCCCCAGCGGCCTCGCCCTGCGGCCGCGCCCGGCCCCACACCCACCCCTCCAGTCCAGTACCCTTCCCCCCAGGCCGTCCCCTCTACCCCTCACTCCTCCCCTAGCCCTCCGGATCCCAGCCCCCTACCTCTTAGGACCCAGATCTTCCCGACCCCAGGGGACCCCAGCACCCTCCCCTCCAACCTGGACCCCTCCCCATCGGACCCGGGCGACCTCCCCATGGGACCCAGGCACCCTCCACTCCGAACCTGGACCCCTCCCCATCCGACCCTGAGACCATCCCTTTGGAATTGCGACCCCTCCGGGTCGGACCCTCTCCCAACCTTCCTCCGCGGATTCCAGCCCCTCCCCCTCGGGTCCCCAACCCGTCTGTCCCAGTGCAGCGTCCAGTCCCCTTAGGCATGAGC